TTACACCAAATACACAAACTAATGTTCTTTTTAGCAACATCATGTAACCCCCTTTAAATAAAACTCAAAGAGAAGATAAAAGTGTTACGGACCTCCCCAGATCATGAAAGGCGATAATTAAAACATATTATGTGAGTGAATCAATACATGACAGTGTTTGTATCGTCTGTTCCAGCTGCTATTTCTTATACTGACTTTCATGTGTGCTGCTATGTTTACACCTCTGCATCTCAGCTGATGAAAGGAGAAATTAGTATTGTTTGGATCTCTGGCAAAAATCTGAGGCCCTTGTTATGATAAAGCTGCTGTCTCATCGCTGTGAGTAAAGGCGGGTGAAAGGATGTGGCTGAGACACTAATTCAGCAGATGCAACAACTCTATATAATGCCTCAGCAGATTATTAAAAGAGTTTCATGTTTTACAGCAAGATGTTTGTAGAATCTGTTGATGCATCTCTTTTATCACCCTGATATGAAATGTGTGACTACTGTCATGTTGTAATAATTCCTTTCTATTTAAAAAAACTAACAAAAAGGCTTCTCACTTGTTATAGGTATGCCTGGTTCAACCGTGCTCGGCTCGGGGGTGCTTCCATCCTCTTCTCCACTGATATCTAAAGGAAAAAAAAGAAAAAGATATTCATTTTTTGTTTGAGGATTTTGAAATTTAGTCTTGTATGCTCAGCAAGTCTGCAGTTTATTTGATTACAGAATTTATGAAATTTTGTGAAATTATTACAATTTAAAAAAAAAATGGTTTGCTATATTTAAATATTTGAAAGTATTATTTATTCCTGCAATGACAAAGTTGAATTTTCAGCAGCCATTAATTTAGTCTTCAGTGTCACATGACGGTTCAGAAATTATTCTAATGTGCTGATATGCTGCGCAAGAAACATTTCATATTATTATCAATGTTGAAAACATTTGTGTTGCTTAATTTTTGTAGAAGCTGTGATTTTTTTTTTCAGGATTCTTTAATAAACAAAGTTCAAAAGAACATCATTTCTTTTCATTCAGCAAAATTATAGAGGTCCTTACTGTCACTTTTAATTAGGCATAATGAATAACCACATCACTATTCCTTATTTATAGGTACTCAGCAGTGCAGCATTCAGATAGTCCCACCTCCTGAAGGATCATAGTACTCTTCATCATCCACAAAACCTCCCGGCCGCTTGTTTTCCTCTAGATCCTCTGGAAAGGGCACCTCATCCCACACTTTAGAGCTCTGAACCACCTGTAGTCAAAACAAATGAAACCACAATTTATGGGATTGAAATCAGCATCTCCAAACACTTCTTGAGTTATGAGAGACCTACAGAAGAGAGAGACAAAAACAACAGTCAATGCCTTCTAGCTCCGCTGAAGGAAGAAGAGATAAATACCATGCCTTTGTGATGTGCATGCACAAAAATGCATATCACACACATCATAGAGACATGAAATGCAAGTATAAAAGTTGTCCTTAAAAAGTATTTGGACACTACAGTCTCACTTCAAAATCTCTGAATGTCACAGAATTAAAGTATCAAACCAAGCGTCATGGGCAAATAAATAAAGCTAAAGCTCTTCTAAAAAAAAAAAAACAACAACAATTTTTAAGTAGCTGGTGTCAGTGTCTGCAGGTGTAGCTGAGCACATCAGCTATAAACATATTCTACTAGTGTGACAACCAAATACATATACATACAGTATACGTTCATACATATGGGTGTGGTAGTTACCATGGTCAATTTCCAACATAAAATTGTTAGACAAACATAGGTGAACACCTGTAACACTCTATCCCATTTACACAGGGTTGGTAGTCAGGAAATACTTTAACACAGCCATGAGAGGTCATAAAATCCCAGACATAACTGTAGTCTTTGATACAGCATACATGAAACCTCTTGTAAATATTATTATCTACTGCAAATGAGTAAATCAAGATTTATGAGGGAAAACAAACTTCTGATTTCCAAGGAACATTTAATATTGTTTGGCATTTTATAACACTAAATATATGACTTGTACCCCTTAAGATTCAACCAACAGTTTGTCAAATAGATATCTATAATTAGTAAAATGCAATTAAAACTGAATGTATAGATTATTATTCAAAAGTTTGGGGTCAGTAAGACTTTTTTTTTTT